GGAGCGCAGGCCTTTGAAACTGGCGAGACCAATCTGAACATTATAACGGACGTGTTCTTGCGAAAAGGGGCCAACCGGATTGGCAAAGAGTCTCAGAACATGTTGCGGGGTGCCGGAAGGAAGGCGTGACCGAGGGAGAGGGAACGTGTAAAAACATGGGGGCGCTACGGAGCGAACTGCCATGAACAACGAAACGATAGGCCGCACGCAATTGAAATAACACCATCGTGCTCTTGATTAGGACCGCTGCATCGAGCATCAGTCGACCTACCGCGCAAGACGATCTGCGGCTGCGCTGGGCAACGATGCCTTCGCAACTTCGGCACAAACTCGCATGCCGTGTGCTGCCTTCCCGCGCTGCCAGCCAGCCAATTGGCACTGTCCTCGGGCCCTCGATTGCCATCAAAATGGTACACTGAACATGCCCTCAAAAGACCCTGGGCCCCAAACTCTTGAGACTCCCGGGCGCTTTCGAACGCTCCAAGAGATTAACGTGTGGTACATGACCAGACCCCAAGGAACCGTAGTTTGGAATGCAAGCATTCTCCCGCTCCGCGGTAGCGAAAAGGTCTGCCACTGAGGCCTTCCGTGGAGCTCCCGATGGAGCCACGAAACGTGTGATGGGTGTGTCGAAATGGAGGGTGGGGAAGACATGCGGGCCCTGCCACTGAGGCCTTCGGTGGAGCTCCCGATGGGGCCAAGAAACGTGTGAAAGGGTGCCGAAATGGGCGATGGGGCTCGAAGCGAATGAGAGGTGTGCCGATACGGGTGGTGGGGAGGAATGCGGCCCTGCCACTGAGGCCTTCGGTTGAGCTCCCTATGGGGCCACAAAACGTGTGAGGGGTGTGCCGAAGTGGGTGTGCCGGACGCACGCGGGCGGTGGCCCTAGGGCCTGCGGTGGAGCTCCCTATGGGGCCAGGAAGCGTGCGAGGCGTGTGCCGACATGGGTGTGGCGGACACATGCGGGCGGGGGCACTGGGGCCATGCGTGGAGTCCCCTATGAGGCCACGAAGCGTGTGAGGGGTGTGCCGAAATGGGTGTGGCGGACGCATGCGGGCGGGGGCACTGGGGCCTTCGGTGGAGCTCCTGATGGGGCAACGAAACGTGTGAGGGGTGTGCTGCCATGGGCGTGGCGGACGCATTCGGGCGGTGGCACTGGGGCTGGGGCCACGAAGCGTGCGAGGAGTGTGCCGAAGTGGGAGTGGCGGACGCATGCGGGCGGTGGCACTGAGGCCTTCGCTGGAGCTCCCGATGGGGCCACGAAACGTGTGAGGGTTGTGCCGAAATGGGTGTGGCGGACGCATGCGGGCGGTGGCCCTAGGGCCTGCGGTTGAGCTCCCTATGGGGCCAGGAAGCGCGTGAGAGGTGTGCCGAGATTGGTGTGGCGGATGCATGCGGTCGGGGACACTGAGGCCCTCGGTGGAGCGCCCTGTGGGGCCACGAAACATGTGAGGGTATGCCGACATGGGTGTGGCGGACAGCGATGATTATGATGATGATGATGACGACGACGACGACGACGATGATGATGATGATGATGATGATGATGATGATGATGATGATGATGAGGATGAGGATGATGACGATGATGCTGATGCTGATGATGAGGAGGATGGTGATGATGGTGATGGTGATGGTGATGATGATGGTGATGATGATGCTGCTGATAATGATGATGATGGTGACGCTGATGCTGCTGATGCTGATGAGGATGATGATGCTTTGATGCTGATGATGCTTGGGGGAGGGAAGAGGAGGAGGAGGAGGAGGAGGAGGAGCAGGAGGAGAGGTAGGAGACGCGGGGCGCTGTCTCTTCAAAGCGAGAACCCAACACAACAAGATGGTTGGTAATCATATTGAAGGTGCTGTTGGCCCCGCCAAAACGTCCCACCAATCGCTCGGCCAGTCGCGCCGCCCGCCACCAAGACCGCATATCTTGCCGCCAGGACCTCAGCAACCGCGGCAATCGGCATCAAAACGCATCAAGCCTGCTTCCCAGACGGCTAAGACGGCGCCTAAGACAGTCCAAGACGGACTCCAAGATGGCCAACGCTGCCTCGAATTGCCCCAAAACGGCCCCAGAGGAAACATGAGAACACGCATACTTGCTTTGTCGGCCCCTCAGTGCCCCTGCAGAGAGGCCCAAGGCATCACTTCACTCTGGACCCCCTGTGCTCCCACAGCTGTCTCGAGAATACTTCGGGAAGAAGAGCATGAATCCTGGTCGAACGACATCTAAATCACAACCGTCTCGAAACGCCTTCCTCTCCCGCGGGGCACCCTCAAGTTAGCCGCGGGCAACCCTTAACGGCCCGACGGGGTTGCTGTACGTGCAGGGCAGCGATGCCTCTGTGACTTCCCCGCGAGCTCGTGTGCGTATTTGTCAAGCAGCGATGCCGTGTGCTGCCTTCCCGCGCTGCAGGCCAGCCAGGTGAGCTGCCTCCCCGAGCTGCAAACCAGCCAGGTCGCTGCAACCCAGCCAGGAGCTGCAAAGAAGCCAGGCGCAGCGGAACAATGCCGTGCGCTGCTGCCTTTCGGCGCTGCAGGTGCAAGCTACCAGGTGTGCTACGAAAGTGCTCTTCAAACAAAAGCAAGTGTCTGGAGGTGGAATGTACGACTCTGTGCCGTCGCACAGTCCAAGGAGAAGGGGGGGACAAATTACAGCGTGTCAGACGTAGGACACTGCGCTGTCAGGCACGATCTCATATGCACACCCGTCCGAAGACGGTCACCAGATGAGGGACACGCTGCTGAAGGCTTTGGCTCCGCATGGGTTACTTCACATGCATGGCCCCCGCCTTGCATTTCAAACGGCATGAAACCACTCGAGCCGTCCTGACCATAAACTGTCAAACGGTACCCACAAGGCTGACCTACCACTAGCAGACCCTCCCATGTGGGCCAAGCAACGTTCGGAGGCTCCCGTGCACTTGACGCATAGTTGGATCTCGAGCTCCAGCGCGTGAAGCTGAGATGTGCGGCGCAGCACTGGCTGTTGGATCGCGGCGCGACATGTCGCGCAACATGTCGGCGCAGAGCATCAGCCGTTGGAAGCGGCGCCACGAAGGCGAGTCAAGACAGCCTGCACCGCCTCTGCCGTTGACGCACTGCGGGCACAACACTCTGTTAAACAGGGAGGCAAGGAGGAAGAGGAAGAGCTAATCCACCACCGTGGCGCTGGGCCCGGAGTGGGCGTGTGCCCAGGTCCTTCCCCTGGTCCTGCCCCTACTCCTCGAAGCCTGAATCCTCGATCCCGCGAGTTCCTGAGGGGCCCGGCGCCCACAGGGCGAAATCTCTCTGCGCTTGGCGCGTGCCCCCCAGGCCGTGGCGCGGTTCCCCGCGCGACTTGTTCGAAACACAAGCGGGCCCCCGGAAGGGCCAGGAGGGCCTCGAGAGGCCTTCCAGGCGTTCCAAGAGGGCCCCAAGTAGCCGAAAGATCGCCCCAACACGTCCACGATGGCCACAAGAAGACGGCCCAAGAAGCCTCCAAGACGCCCCAAGAGCCTCCCCAGGAAGGTACCAAGAGGTCGGAAATGCTTGGCGTTCTCGCCTTTTCGACTTCCCGACGCTCCAAGACAGCCCAAGAGGCCCCCAGGATCGCCCCAAGAGGCCTCTAAGAGGCGCCCCAAAAAGGCCCAAGAGGGCCCCAAGACGGCCCAAGAGGCGCCCAAGACGGCCAAAGAGGCCCCAAAGACAGCTCCAAGAGGGGCCCAGGGACCCGAACTGACATTTCAAGCCCCCGGACCCGAGGGGGCCCCAGGAGGCTCAAGAGGCCCCCACGAGGCCCCGACGAGGCCCCAAGAGGCTCCAAGAGACGCCAAAACTGACCCCAAAAGAACCCCGAGAGCGCTCCGAAGAGACCCCGAGAAGCATCCCTGAGAACTCTGACCCATAATCCAGGCACGGTGGCGGGATGGGCCGAATGCCATTCGATCCGCCGTCCCCTGTTGGCTTGCCACAAGGGTTCCTGATGTGCTTAATTCAATACGTTTTGCTGTTGGTGCTGTTCCAAAAGAGCTCCCCCAGGGGCTTCGGCCGATCGCGCTGGTCACCAGGAAGGGGCCAGAAATCCCTAAGACGGTTCAAGATGGCCACTCAGACGGCCAAAATGTCGCAAGATGGCCTCCAAGATGCCTCCAAGACGGCCAAGATGGCTCCAAGAGGCCCCAACATGGCCCCAAAATGCACCCAAGACGGTTTAATATGGCCTCAAGATGGCCTACGACGGCCGAGAAGGTCCGCAAGAGGCCCCCTAAGAGGCCTCCAAGACGGCCCAATAGCCCCCCAAGAGGGCTTGCATTGATCGACCCGAGGTTTTCCAATGATTTTAGCATTCGTGTCTGTTCGACCTTCCGACGGCCCGATACGACCCAAATGCCGCTAAAGATCACCCAAAGATCGGTCCGCAGGCCTCCAAGATGGCCCCCGAACGGCGCCAGAGGCGCCCAAGACGGCCCCGAGAAGGCCCCAAGACGGCCCAAGAGGCCTCCAAGACGCCCACGATGGCCTCCAAGACGGCCATGGAGCACCCCAGGAGGACCCCAAGTCGGCCCAGCCTCCAAGAAGGCTTCCGACGGCGCCTGACTGGCCAAGAATGCTCTAAGACGGGCAAAGCGGCTCCCTGAGAAGCCCCTAAATATCCACTAGAGGCCCAAGGAGGCCCCCAAGATGCCTCCAAGCAGCTCCCAGGAAGTTCCCTGTTTCCCCAAGAGTGTCTCCAGAGGATCCCAAGGTGCCCCCTCCTCCTCCACCTCCTCCTCCTCATCCTCCTCCTGATCTTCCCCGCGATCTTCCCCCAAGTGTTCCCTGAAGGTTTTCATCAAGGACTGGGCGGACGCATGGCCAGATAGCTTGGCAGAGCTCTTGCCACAGCCCTCGGCCACATGGGTGATTCCAAAAGGCAGGGGGCGGCGGAGATTCGCGGCATAGGTTTTCGACTAGCATGTCTACCTTCGCTGCTGCCACACCTGCACGTTGTTATTGCCTCGCGTGGCTTGTCTTCAAGATGCATGCCGCCTGCCTAGCTTGAGAGGGCCCAGGCCCTGCTCGATGCGTTTGATGTCCTCCTTGATGCCCGAATCGGTCAGTCTCTTGTCGCCGTTCTTCTCGAACACAAAGAATCTCGGGTGGACGCCATACTTCTGGGCGTACGGCGTCACCTCGTGAACTGTTTTTCTTATTCGGCGCTTCGACACTGGGTGGAAAGGGGGGGGGGAGGGGAAGGGGGTCTGGCTCTGATCTCTGCTTAGTGCGACTGATTGGAGCCGTGCGTCCTATGGGGGAGGCTCCACCTGCTCGAAACAGGCGCCAAAAACAGCCAAGATCTACTCCATGGGAGGGGGGGGGCGGCGAGGGCCTGCGCCGATCGGCAAAACAATGAATGAGAAAACGATCACCTCGTGGGTGCTGCTCAGGAGGCACGGCAGGAACAGGACGCGCTTCACCCGAGAATCATGCCGCCGCCTGCGCTCCTGCTCGGGAGCTCATGCAGAAAACTCACAACCGCTGGGCTGAGGCAGCCGCCCCCGGCGCCGCCCCAAAGCTTATGTCGGGCGTGTCCTCCTACAGGCGGATTGTGAACGAAAATCTGCCTTAACATAAATAATAAAAAATCACAGCATAAAAAAAAACAATAGTCAGAAGAACACGAAATATTGAAACAACACGATGCTTTAACTAATCTTGAACACTCCTTCTGTAAAGGAACATGCCCGACTTCACCCAAGGCTGACCACAACTTCCAGGCGGTGATGGCCTGCGCGCGGCGGCGCCCGATCTCCAGTGCCGCGCGCAAATCATCACCGCAGGCGGGTCAGGGTCGGGGTGTCAGGGGCTTCTCGGGGAGACGTAAGACTCGGGTTCTGGGGACTCGGGTTGGCCTCACGAGGCCATCATGAACATGACGAGGCCCACTCTGAAACTTGACGCGAGCTCCCGCTGCAGACATCACACGACAACTGGATAATTAAGATCCAGGACGCGCTCGTCAGAAGGCTTAGGTTAGAAGAAAAAGCACCATAACCATACACGTTTGGCGCTCCGCGAAGATTTCTTGGATCTGGCCTGGACCCCCCCTCACTGGCGCAGGGAGCGCGCCAGGGGCGGCGCCTGAGGCGCCGCCGGGGGGGCCCAGCGCGGATCCAAAAAATCAGCGCGGGGCGCCAGAAGTTTATGCTTATGGCGCTGTCTCTTCTTCGCTACGTTTCCCCACGACTGCCCTCAGCCCAGCGGCTGCGGTCGTCGCTTCTTCGCCCACTTGAGAGCGGACCAACCGTCCCGGCATTCCTATAGGCCCACCACGACGTGTTCTGAGAACCCGAAGCTGTTCCAAGAACAGACCAACGTTCTTAGAACATAAGCCCGATGTGTGTAAACAATACAATCTCGGCCAGACCTGTTCTATAAGAGCACTTCGCGCAGACCACTTAAAGGTTTTTGGAACATGTCTGGTGGGCCTATATGGGCGTGCCAGGACGCTTCGCCACTGTCGGGTCGGGCGAAAGGGGGGGGATAACAAAGGGAGGGGGGTGAGAATCAGCTCACGTAGCTGATTTTCCCGGCGCCTCCCGGCGCCGGAGGCGGCTGTGTATCGAGGCATGGGCCCCTCGGTGAGGCCGAGGGCAGCTGCATGCAGCAGATGTCGTCACCCCCCCCTTTCCCAATCCCCCCCTTTCGTCCAGCCCGACACTGCTTGACCCACGACCCCGTAACCTCCCCTGCGGTGCTCGCGGCCCGGCGCAGGCGGGGCGGCCCCGCGGGCCACGCGCCCGGGCACTCCGCGGGCCCCGCGGGGCTGCGCGGGCTGCCTCCGCCCAGGCCTGCCGGCATGCTCGCCGCCCTGCGCACGCGCGCGGGCCCGGGCACGCACGAGCCGCCCTCCCTCGCAGCCCTGCGGCCCTTCAGGCAGCTCGGGGCCACGGCTCGGTGGCCTCCAGAGGTGGGGTCCTGATAGGGATGGGGTCCTCCGGACGAGGTGCCTCGAACAGCGTACAAGTCGACCCTTGGACCCCTTCCTATCCTTCGTAGAGGGCAGAGAATCCACCATCAGAATGACCCCGACACGCCAAGTCGTTTAGCAAACGCACCAGAAGAAGGTATCAAACAGGGCGGGGCTGCTTAGTAAACGCCCAGGGCCGTTTTGTAAACGCCAATTGTCGGGTCCGAGTGCTTTTTTCTTCCTTGACTTAGGCCCCCATCCCTCATGGGGCAACGATCGGGGGGGACTGGACTAGGGGGGGGGACGCGTCGACCTGGTTGCCCCTGACCTCAGGACCCCATCTTTGAGCCACCGCATGGCGGGCAGCGAACCCCCGCGGCCCTCGAGGCAACTCGGCGGCACGGCCCCCGAGCCGCCTCCCGTCGCGGAGGCGCTGCCGCCGCGCGGCCCCGGCGAGCTCGGCGCCACCCGCCCGGCGCCCCACAGAGCCACCAGCTCCGACATCTCGCCTCCGCGCCGCCGGCGGGGGGAAGAAAGAGGAGCCGGTGCCGCTGCGCCCTGCAGGCCTCCATAGAAGACCACGTGCGAACCCTGCCCCACCTCCCCCCCTCGGGTTCCGGCGAGTTCCGGCTCGAGTTCCCAGGAGGATCCGGCTGTTCCTCCCAGGAGGCCCGGCCCGAAGAACGGCCAAAACGAGAACAGAAACAGCTAGGAGGTCCGCGCGGATTTCTCGGATCGGCGCTGGAACTCCCTTCTTGGCGCGCGGAGCGCGACAGGGGCGGCGCCGGAGGCGCCGCCAGGGGCCCCAGCGCCGATACGTGGAAAATTCGCGGACCCCAGGGTTTTTTCCCAACAATCCTTTGGTGTTTTGAAGAGACAGCGCCCTGCGTTCTTCTCCTCCTCCTCTCCTCCTCTTCTCCTCCTCCCTCCTCCCATCCCTGCCTCTGTCCCGCCCACCCAGCACAACGCTTCGTGGCTCCATAGGGAGCTCCACCTAAGGCCCCAGTGGCGGTGCCCACATGCGTCTCCCCCACCCAGCACAGCGCTGTGTGGCCCCATAGGGGGCTCCACCGAAGGCCCCAGTGGCGGTGTCCACATGCGTCTCCCCAACCGAGCTTACAGCGCTGCGTGGCCATATTGGGAGCTCCACCTAAGGCCCCAATGGCGGTGTCCACATGCGTCTCCCCCACCCAGCACAGCGATTCGTGGCTTGATAGTGAGCTCCACTTAAGGCCCCAGTGGCGGTGTCCACATGCGTCTCCCCCACCCAGAACAGCGCTTCATGGCCCCATAGGGAGCTCCACCTGAGGCCCCAGTGGCGGTACACACATGCGTCTCCCCCACCCAGACCATCGATTCGTGGCTTGATAGTGAGCTCCACCTAAGGCCCCAGTGGCGGTGTCCACATGCGTCTCCCCCACCCAGAACAGCGTTTCATGGCCCCATAGGGAGTTCCACCTGAGGCCCCAGTGCCAGTGCCCACATGCGTCTCCCCCACCCAGCACAGCGCTGCGTGGCTCCATGGGGATCTCGTGGCGGTGTCCTCATTCGTATCCCCCACCCAGCATACAGCATTTCGTGGCCCCATAGGGAGTTCCACCTAAGGCCCCAGTGTCGGTGTCCACATGCGTCGCCCCCACCCAGCCCAGCGTTTCGTGGTGCATAGGGAGCTCCACCTAAGGTCCCAGTAGCGGTGTCCACACGGGTCTGCCCCACCCACTACAGCGCTTCGTGGCCCATAGGGAGCTCCACCGAAGGCGATACCCACAACTGCAGTACCACGACTGCATATGGTTGGGTCCTTCGCCAGGCGAAAATGTGTACGCCATCGCTTGCTCCCCCAAACGGCCAAGACCAGGGAAAGGTGGCGGCACTGGCTCCTCGCCCTCCCCCCAGGCTGGAGGATGCTGGGCCGGGCCAGGTCGGGCGTGCTCCTGACCACCTACCAGACCACCACGACCGCACCCGAAGACCCTAATTTCGGGGGGGGATGGGTACGATCAGGTCGGGCCTGTCCCCCTACAGGGGGCTTCCGGACGAAAAATAAAGAATACCCCAAAACAGATTCAAAACATACCCAAGCATGGTCAACAAGTAGTCCCCGTACTATTTTTGACTTTTTTAAAATTTTCCCTCTGTAGAGGGACAAGCCCGACTTAAGGGTACGGGTTCCATGTATGTTTTGACACCCCCCCTGGGAATGGAGGCCTAATTGGGGCTTTCGGGCTGGGTTTGGCGAGTCTTTTTGGAAGCTCAGTCTAACACATACGGCCTCGGTTTAATAGCCTGTAGTTGCCACTACCGGCCTCTGGTGTATCATCAGCGGCCTTCAGTGGCCTTTTAGTTACCCTTTAGCGGCCTTCGGTTGCCTCTAGCTGCCACTCGTGGCCTTCAGCGGTCACTATTTGCCTCCACAGAATTCCAAGAAGTGTGTCCTGTATGTGCAAATCAGCTTCCGAAAAGACCCCCTGAAGTGCACGAGCGCGCTCCACTGCTCGCAGAGTAGCTACTCGCAAATGGCTTGGATCCTGCACCGGGGATCCACGATACATCACATCGCAGCAGACGTGTGCTTTTCGGACGCTTGCGAGTAGGCACTTTGCGAGTAAAGGAACGCGCTCGGTGATGATTGGCTGAGGTGATCTGGTTCGTGGTGAGCTCCTCTCGGGCTGGGCGAAAGGGGGGGATAGCAAAGGGGGGGTTTGAGAATCAGCTCATGTAGCTGCTTTTTTCTGGGCGCCTCCCGGCACCGGAGGCGCCCATGTATCAAGGAATGGGCCCCTCGGCGGGGCCGAACTCAGCTGCATGCAGCAGATTTCTTACCCCCCCCTTTCCCAATCCCCCCCTTTCGACCGGCCCGATCCTCCTGCCGTGGACGAAGGGGCCCGCCGAGTCCACCCCAGAGGCCCCGATGGGGGGGGGGCTCTGGAGGGGGGGGGGAGGGGGGAGGAGGGGGAGGAGGGGAGGAGGAGGAGGAGGAGGAGGAGGAGGAGGAGGAGGAGGAGGAGGAGGAGGAAGAGGAGGAGGAGGAGGAGGAGGAGGAGGACGACAAACGCGCCCGGTGCTGAAGAGATGAGGTGATCTGCTTGGTGGTGAGCTCCTCGCACGGCAGCGGATGCCGGGCCTCGCGGCCGCGCCGGGCGGCGTGAGCGCGCGAGGGCCGCTCGCCTCCGCCTCCGTGGCCCCGGCGCCGCGGGCCTGGTGGGCCATCGGCGTGCCGCTTGTGCTGGGGCGACGCTCGGCGGCGTGTGCTCTGGGCAGTTTTCGGGCCTCGGGTTATGCTGCTCCCATCGTGATTAAGGACCACATCTCAGAACTGACTTCGATCACCCGGAAAAGTGTCGAAACAATGTCGAAACAGTGTCAGACGAGCGTCTCCCTGGGCCCGACACGTGAAAACCGTTGAGTTTCGGTTCTGTTCTGGTGCTCGAAATTCCTTCTGGTGATCAAGGCTCAAGTAGGCTGGAACAGCAGAAGCCTCGGGACGCGTTCCAGCTTCTGCGCCTCGCCGAGAGCGTTTTGGGGGTGCCCGGATCGTCCCGAACGGCCGCCGCAGACCCGAGCTGTGACCCGAGAGCACAGCTCCGCGGCGCGCCTGGGAGGGGAGTGAGACGGCGAAGGCCTTCTCCGAGGGCGGCGGGACTTCTCTTCAGAAGCCCCCGTGCCTTCTGAGAAGATTTCGCTGTCTGCGGCGCAGCGATAGGGGGGAGAACTGGCACAGGGGGGGTTGCATCGACCTGGAATCGGCGATTCATCGCCGATAGATCGGCGAGATGGTCCCGATAATGGAAGAGCGTGATCCACTGCCGCTTCACTGTGGAACATCGCCGCCCTTTTCCTCCGGAGCCCGGGTGTCCCCCCCCCCCCTCCGAAAATCCACCCTCCCCCCCTGCTGGACCCCCCCCCCTCACCCGGCAAAACCCCCCCCCCTCCCCTAACCTCCCCCCCCCCCTCCCCCTCAAAAGCTGGGAGGGGTCACTACCGGTTCGAACCCCCCTCCTCCTCGAAAACCGAAGGGGGGGGTCACTACCGGTTCGAACCCCTCCCCAACCCCCCCTCTCACCGCCAGCAAACGACTCTCGGTCCCTACCGCCGTCGTCATCACCACATCCCCCGCTGTTGTTCCCTGCACGGCTGTCCTCACCACTACTGTCCCCACTGGTTCCACCACCGCCCCTACTGTCACCACCAGTGCCACCACCACTGTCGCCCTGTCCCCAGTCCCCACCACTATTCCCACCACGGTTCCATTCTCCCAACGTTCTCCACGGCCCCAACCACTGCCCGACTATCCCCACTGTCCCCAGTGTCCCACTGACCCCTCCGCTGTCCCACTGAGCTGTCCCACTGTTCCCACCACTGTCCCCACTGTCCCCACCACTGTCCCCACTGTACCTCTGTCCCATTGTCCCACCGCCGTCCTCGCCACCGCCTTCACCACTGTCCCCACCACCACTGTACCCTCCACTGTCCTACTGTTTCCACCACATTCCCACTGTCCCCACACCACTGTCCCCACCACCACCGTCCCCACCACTGTCCCACTGTCCCCACTGTTCCCACCATTGTCCTCACCATTGTCCCCACCACTACCGTCCCCACCACTGTCCCACTGTCCCCACCACTGTCCCGCTGTCCCCTCACCACTGTCCCCACCACCACCGTCCCCCCCACTGTCCGCGCCCCCCCTCGGTTTTCGAGGGGGGGGGGGTTCGAACCGGTAGTGACCCCCCCCAGTTTTCGAGTTCGAGGGGGGGGGGGAGTTCGAACCAGTAGTGACCCCCCCCCTTTTCATGATGAACTGGGGGGGGGAGGGGTTCGAACCGGTAGTGACCCCCCGCGGTTTTCTGGAGGGGGGGGGGGAGGGGTTCGAACGGGTAGTGACCCCCCCCGGTTTTCCGCCAGCAGCGGTAGAACACGCTCTTTCTGATAATGAATCCGAACCTTCCTGTGCAGGCAGGTTGGGGCTACCAGGCCCCCATCGGCGATCAGTGGGCGATTGGGGGTCGATGCATCCCCCCCTAAGCCTATCCCCCTATCGTTGCCCCCGATCTTCGGGGAAGGCGCAGAAAACGTCTGAAGGCTCAAGGACTTCTGGGCCCTCTGAGAAGGCCCACCTCTCCTCACTTCCAACCCCCCCACGGGCTCACCGCCGATGCCGAGATCTGCACGTACATTATTTAGGTCGGGCGTGCCCCCCTACAGGCAGATTTTGGACGACAAATAAAACATCGCGGAAACATGCTTGACAACATGCTCCACAAAACATTCAACAAATGGTGCCCTGGCTATGTTTGTTTGTTGTTTACTAAGCTTGCACACGTACTCCCTCCGTAGAAGGACACGCCCGACTTACGCGTACATGCCCACCGCCCCTGACAAGGCCCAGCCCCGGCCCAGGGGAGCGCTGTGCACCCAGACGTGACCGCGCCGTGGACACACGCCACGACGGGAGGCCTCTGGCTCATCTCGGCGGGACCCTCTCCCTGGGACCGGCTTTCATCCTAATACTCCTCCTCCTCTTCCACCTCGTCCTCCTCCTCCTCCTCCTCCTCCTCCTCCTCCTCCACCCCCACCTCCAGTCGTCGCTTGACGGTCCCGAGTCCCGACAAGGGCCCTGGGAGGCCGAAACTCGGCCCTCGGGGGCCCTCGTCGGGCCCTCGGAGGCCGTCAGACGACGACGATCGTGGCCCGGGCGGAAGGGTGGAAACCTCCTCCGGGGACCCCGTGCTGGCAGAGGCGGAGCCTCGCACGCCTGGGCACGCCACCCTCGGCCTGGGGGCGGCGTGAAGGGCCGCTCCCGGGCCCCGGGGGGGCCTCGCCGGGGCCGGCTGGCATGTCCAGATCTCGCCTCCCGACCTCTCGTGCGCACCCCGCGGGCGCTTGCGAGGCGAGCCCGAGTGGCACAGAGCGCGCGCGTGGGCACCGAGATCACTGGCAGTAGTCCGAGTTCGGGAAAAAGCCAGGGCCGCAAAAAGCCTCGAGCAGCATTGGCCACGGAGGAGGGGGGGAAGGCGCGAGGAGGGGGGCAGGACGGGTGGTGAGCCCGGTCTCCTGAATATCCGAGGCAGCGACCCATTGGGATTTCGCAAGACGCCATGGCTGTTGCAAGGGAGTCATGTGAAGGTTTTTTGTTCGGCGTTTCGACATTGGGCGGAAGGGGGGGGGGCAGAGAGGCGGGAGAGGAGGATAAGGAGGAGGATAAGGAGGAGGAGGAGGAGGAGGAGGAGGAGGAGGAGGAGGATGGAGCAGGAGAAGGAGGGAGGAGGAGGAGGAGATGGGGAGGAGGAGGAGGAGGACGAGGGAGGAGGGAGGAGGACGAGGGAGGAGGAGAGGGAGGAGGGAGGAGGAGGAGGAGGGAGGAGGAGGGAGGAGGTGGAGCAGGAGGAGCAGCAGCAGCAGGAGGGGCGAGGAGGAGGGAGCAGGTGGAGGAGAAGGACCGCCCGGCCCGCGCTGGGCCTGTCGCTCGTGTGGCCGCGGGCCCTCCGGGCAGGAGGCCTCCTCGTCGGTCGGGAGGGCGGACCAGGCGGCGCGGCTGGCCGCCTGTGGGGAGAGACGGGGGGGGGCAGAGGAGGAGGGGCCCCAAGGAAGGGGGGGGCAGAAGAGCAGGAGGAGGAGGAGGAGGAGGAGGAGGAGGAGGAGGAGGAGGAGGAGGAGGAGGAGGAGGAGGGAGAGGAGGAGCAGGCCGCATACTGAGCAGCATCACTTCGTCGCATGTCTTGGGGCAGATCCATCGCCTGCGGAAACGACGTCCTGGGACCCCAGCGGGGGGGGGGATATGGACATTCTACACACACGTAGATCTATCTCTGTGACCGGCGGTGAGCGAGGGGGGGGGGGGTGAGAAGGATAAGGCCTCCTCAGAAGGTTCGGAAGTCCCCCGGCCTTTGAGAAGCTGTCTCAGCCTTCCTCGAAGACAGAGCAAACTGCTCGGAAGGCACGGGGGCTTCTGAGAAATCCTGCCGCCTTCTGAGAAGGCCTTCTCCTTCCCGTGTCCCCCCGTTCGCTCGCCGCCGACGGGGGGGGGCGAGTGGCTTCAGATCCACCGCCTGCCGAGGTCCCCGAAGATTGATCCCCTGGGCGGCGGCTGTGCAAAATGCCCGCCTCGGAAGGCGGAAAGAGGAGGGACAGAGGAGTAACAATAATAACAATGAGAAGAAGCGCCATAATACTAAGAAGAGGCAGAGGAAGATGACAAACAGTAAGAACACACATACGAATAACAATACTGATAATGATACGACGAAGAAAACGACACTAGGCCTTGCGTGTGATCTCAGTCGGACCTGCTGGGCGCCAAGCTGTCGGCTTGGCCTCGCACAATCGCATCGATCGTTCAGGATCCGATGTGACGGGTTGCACGCACCGTGCAGCCTACCATACGCAGAGTATGTTGACCGTCACAGATCAGAACAAAAAGGGTCCCGGGGCAGGGGGTGCTGTCCCGCGGACCTCGAAGAGGCCGAAGCCTGCGGTGCTGTGCACCAGGCAGGCCTCTGAGGCAATCGACCCTGCCCTGATCAGCCCTCGGCCACTGCGAGTGACCACACCTCCTCTACCTCTGCCTCTACCTCATCATACGGCAGAGGAGGAGGAGGAGGAGGAGGAGGAGGAGGAGGAGGAGGAGGAGGGGCGCCAGACCCGATGCAGGCCTTGGCGGTTTGCGCGTTTTCCATCGGCATCCTTCTGTGGAGGCCGAACGAAACCGAAAACGGATCAGACAACCCCCAAAAACAAAAACACGAACGTTCGAATAGAATCTGGCGGTCGACCACGGAATCTTATCTGACAATGTGTTTTTGTTCCCAACCAACCTGTGTTGTTGGGTCCTCGTTTTGAGAAGACGGTCCCCGCGTTCCTCCTCCTCCTCCTCTCCTCTCCTCCTCTCCCTCCTCCCTCCGCCTCCCTCCTCTGCCCCTGCTCCTTGCGTTTCCCCCACCCATTACAGCGTCTCGTAGCCCCATAGGGAGCTCCACCCAAGGCCCCAGTGCCACCGTCTACATGCGTCCCCCCCACTCAGTACAGCGCTTCGTGGCCCCATAGGGAGCTCCACCGAAGGCCCCAGTGCCACCGTCCACATGCGTCCCCCCCACTCAGTACAGCGTTTCGTGGCCCCATAGGGAGCTCCACCGAAGGCCCCAGTGCCACCGTCCACATGCGTCCCCCCACTCAGTACAGCGTTTCGTGGCCCCATAGGGAGCTCCACCGAAGGCCCCAGTGCCACCGTCCACATGCGTCCCCCCCACTCAGTACAGCGTTTCGTGGCCCCATAGGGAGCTCCACCGAAGGCCCCAGTGCCACCGTCCACATGCGTCCCCCCCACTCAGTACAGCGTTTCGTGGCCCCATAGGGAGCTCCACCGAAGGCCCCAGTGCCACCGTCCACATGCGTCCCCCCCACTCAGTACAGCGCTTCGTGGCCCCATAGGGAGCTCCACCGAAGGCCCCAGTGCCACCGTCCACATGCGCAGTACAGGCCCCATGGGAGCTCCACAGTCCACATGCGTCCCCCCCACTCAGTACAGCGCTTCGTGGCCCCATAGGGAGCTCCACCGAAGGCCCCAGTGCCACCGTCCACATGCGCCCCCCCCCACTCAGTACAGCGCTTCGTGGCCCCATAGGGAGCTCCACCGAAGGCCCCAGTGCCACCGTCCACATGCGTCCCCCCGAATCAGTGCAGCTCTTCGTGGCCCCATAGGGAGCTCCACTGAAGGCCCCAGTGCCACCGTCCACATGCGCCCCCCCCACCCAGTGCAGCGGTGGCCCCATAAGGAGCCCCACCGAAGGTCACAGTGCCACCGTCCACATGCGTCCCCCCCAGTCAGTACAACGTTTCGTGGCCACATAGAACGCTCCACCGAAGCTCCCAGTGGGACCGTCCGAGTGCGTCCTGACACACCCAATGTGGCATTTTCATCCACCCAGTGCAGCGTTTCGTGGCCCCACAGGGAGCTCCACCGAAGGCCCCTATGCCACCGTCCGCATGCGTCCCGCACGCCCAATGTAGCATTTTCACCCAAGCCGTGCAGCGTTTCGTGGCCCCACAAGGAGCTCTACCGAAGGCCCCAGTGGGACCGTCCACAAGCGTCCCGTTGTGGCACGTTCACCCACCCAGGAGGGAGCTCTGGAGGCCCCGGAGGGAACTCCACCGAAGGCCCCAGTGCCACCGTCCGCATGCGTCCCGAAAACCCAACGTCGCATTTTTACCTACACAATACAACGTTTCGTGGCCCCTGAGTGAGCTCCACCCTCCACCGGAGCCCCCAGTGGGACCGTCCGCATGCGCTCCGGAAGCCCAATTTGGCATTTTCACCAACCCAATCAGCGCTTCGTGGCCCAATGAGGAGTTCCACCGAAGCCTCCAGTGGGACCGTCCGCATGCGCCCCGGAAGCCCAACTTGGCATTTTCACTTACCCAGTATAGCGCTTCGGGGCCCCATAGGGAGCTCCAGCGAAATCCCCGGTGGGACCGTCCGCATGCGTCCCGGCACACCACTCACCTAGAACAGCGCCCCCGCCCCCCCCAGTGCAGCGCTTCGTGGCCCCATAGGGAGTTTCACCGAAGAAGATTTTCACAATTGCGGTGCCCACAACTGCATATGGTTGGGCCCTTCGCCAAAATAATTGTTTGTTTTTTGTTTTTGATTTTTTTGGGGGGAAACCTCACAATCGGAATCCTCTCTGTAAAGCGCCACAAACGGATTCCATCGGAAAGCCTCACGATCGGAATCCTTTGAATAGCGCAACAAAAAGGGTCTAGTGGAAAGCCTCACAACAGGAATTCTTTGGGAAGCGCCACAAAGGGATTTCATTGGAAAGCCTCACAAAAGGAATCTGTTTGAAAGCACAACAAAGGGACTCGATTCGAAAGCCTCACAACGGGAATCCTTTGGAAAACGCAGCAAGGAGTTTGCACAGGAAGACCTCACAACAGGAATCCTTTGGAAAACACCTCAGAAGGGCTTCTACTGGAAAGCCTCACAACAGGAATCCTCTGGGAAACACCACAAAGGGATTACATTTGAAAGCCTCACAACAGAAATGCTTTGGAATGCGCCACAAAAGGGATTCGATTGGCAAGCCTCACAACAGGAACCCGCTGGACAACGCAGCAGAGAGATTCGATTGGAAAGCCTCACAGCACACAAAAGGATCCCATGGGAAAATATCACAATCGGAATCCTTTGGGAAACGTCGCAGAGGGATTATATTAGAAAACGTCACAGTCGGAATCCTCTCGAAAGCACAACGAACGAATTCTATTGGAAAGTTTCAAAGCAGGAATCCTCTGGAAAGCGCAACAAAGGGAGTCGAGTGGAAAACCTCACGGCAGGAATCCTCTGGAAAGCGCCACAAACGGATTCCATTGGAAAGCCTCACAACCGGAATCCTTTGGAAAGCGCCACGAAAAGGATTCTTCTGGAAAGCCTTACAATCGGAATCCTTTGGAAAACGCCACAAACGGATTCCATTGGAAAGCCTGACAACACAAATATTTTGGAATGCGCCACAAAAGGGATTCGATTGGAAAGCATCACATCAGGAATCCGTTGGGAAGCGCCACAAAAGGATTCTATTGGAAAGCCTCACAACAGGAATCCTGTAGAAAACGCAACAAAATGGATTCGATTGGAAAACCTCACAACAGGAATCCGCTGGAAAACACAACGAATGATTCGATTGGAAAGCCTCACAACACACGAAAGAATCCGATGGGAAAGCATCACAACCGGAATCCTCTGGGAAGCGCCACAAGAGGGATTATATTAGAAACATCACAGTCTGAATCCCCTCGGAAGCACAACGAAAGAATTCGATTGGAAAGCTTCACAGCAGGAA